GGTGTGAGTAAGGTTTATGCCATAGGAGGGTTAAATTCAAGTCGATAATGTGTTAATATAGGTCTGGTTTAAGTCACTTTATATCAGGGTTAGCTTAAGTTATGAGTAATCGAAATATAGTAGGCGAAAGTCTTAAAAAATGGTTTAAAACCAAGTGCTAGAAGTTAGGGCAGAGTTTAGGTTAGGTAAAGTTAAGTTAATGTTGGGTTAGTTTAGGTTAGCGGCAGGTTAAATCGAACCAAATTATGCGACATTAAACTGAGTTATTCCGGGGTTAGGAGTGGGCTAGGATTATTTAGCTTGGTGTGTGGAATAAGTTAGTCTAGAGATGAGTAGAGTTAGGTTAATGGTGGTTTAAGTTTGGTTAGGGATGGGTCACGTTACCCTTGTGTTAGGTTGGTATTGATTGGGTTGCTGTGGTAAGATTACGTTTTGGTGGTTCATTTTATTTCCATTAAAAAAATGAGTTGATCGAATTCACTTTAATTTAATCTGATTACAATGGCTTGGTTGTCTTGGGTTGGTTCGGTTGAAGTGGACCTAGGAGCGACCAGTGAGAGGGGGGGCCAAATGAGTTGTGAATTACCCTTTGCAACCAGAAATAGTGAGTAAAGACAAACGCGCACCGAACAGCCTAGATTACAGTAAACAATACTGGGTATGAGTTTGTGTTGATTTGGTTATCTTTGGTTTAAGGTAGGTTGAGTTTCGTTACCTGGTTGACAAGGTTGATAAGGGAGAGTTTGTGCAAGGTTAATAAGACACATAACCAACTTTAACATCCAGGTCACGAAGCAGGGCATCATCACCTTCCCGGGCAAATGTTTCCTTCGTCTACCCCTTCAATTTTCACTTCTGGTGGCCATATCTTCCTATCCCATTTATTTTCAATATCCTCCCTCCCCTGTACCTCCTCCCCCTCACCATCACCTGGCAAGAGTCACATTCACATGGATATGCAGTCGCCTGCAATTTTCTACACCGCGCGTGGAACAGATTATATTTATTTTATTCATGGAAAAATCACTCACCCCATGGAGAGGACATACAGAGCAAAAATTTTATGATGAGGGGAAAATTCTTTCCATTTCAAGACAAAACAAAAAAAAATCGCTGGTCTAGTTTTCTTTTTTCTCTTCAGTAAAATTCAGCTCATTACAGACTGTACCGCTACCCTATTCGTCACGCAGTTCAATAGCAGTAAAACAAAAGTTATACTAATGTGGCGCTTTTTTTAATTTGGAAGAAGTGCACCTGTATAACTCTGCGGGACATACGACCCAGATTTCCCACCTACTCATATATGAACAGTAGTAGACACCTGGAATAATCCGGTATTCACTCCGCGCTCCTTGTGGATATGATGCGAGTCACTTGGGATTTTTAGGAAAATCACCCATCGGGACGTACAGTTTCTTGCTGGGATTATTTTGATGCCGTTGGATAATGCTCGCAGGAGTGTCACCTCCCACGCGGATCGTGCACGTGGATAACAGTGTTGCAATTTCTCACTAGATTCTTGGGGTTATGTTATATCGGAGAGTACAGTAGATGAGAGAGAGTAGAAGGAGATGAAGAGAGAAGAGGAGAGAGAGAGGAGGAGGGGGAGGTGGGGGAGGCTGGGAGAGAGGAGACGTCTTGCCTGGACTCATACTGGAATATTCGCTGATGTCAAGTGTGGTGTCTTCATCCTTAACGTAACTCTCCTCCTCCTGCTTTCTTCCTCTGTTTCTGCACTCACTTCCTTCCGTTTCCGCATTCCTTTTACTCTCTCACTGGTCCTGTAGGTATTCCTCCGACATCCATAACTCTCCCCTAATACTAGACTGCGCTTCAGCCGTCTAGCCCACGACATGAGCCAAAATGAGAAACTATCGGGATGAAGATAAAACGTCGACTACAACGAAACCGAGAAACCTGTGTGATGACCTTACTCACGAATCTCCTCACACTACTCCTCTCACACTCTCTCACTCTCTCCCTCACACTCTCCTCACATCTCCCTCCACACTCTCCTCACTCCTGCTCCTCCATCTCTCCTCGAGAACTCTCCAAAACTCTCCCTAAAAGTTTCACACTCCCTCAGACTTCCATCAATGAACTCTAAAATGATACTCCAAACAGACTCCTTATACCTCCCTCACATCCTCCCTCACTACTCTCCCACACTCTCCCTCACTCTCCCTCAACTCTCCCTCACACTCTCCTCACACTCTCCCTCACCTCTCTCCCTCACACTCTCCCTCACACTCTCCCTCACACTCATCCCTCACTACTTCCCTCACACTCTCCCTCACACTCTCCCTCACACTCTTCCCCTCACTCTTTCCCTCACACTCTCCCTCACACTCTCCCCTCACTCC